TGCTCTCACTCCCAAGTGTGGCATCACTGCACTTCCTGCGTGCTGCAGCCAGACCTCGAGCTGATGGCGGTGCGAAGGACAAGGACAAGGACAAGAAAGACGGCGACGCCAGTGGAGGTCCATGTAGTCCTGCTGACGAAGTCTACCTTCCGTGAGACTCTTGTCTTGAGGCCTTCGGAGGTTGAATATTATCGGTGCTCTTTCGCGTCTTCGGAGGCTCCTGGTCCTGGGTCGGCATCTGTCTGATAGGTATGACAGCCTTAACCCCGTAACAGGGGAGAGTGGGTCAGCGAGCTTGGGGACTTCCGCGGCTGCCCTGCCGCGCAAGTCTTGTCCTCCGACACGCAGGCCGCCCCTCTCTTCTGATTGCAGTCAATCTCGTAGGCTAGTTGACGGGTTTCCTGGATCACATCGTTCTCTGGATTCTGATGAATTGTTCAGCCCTTCTCCCGCCAGTGTTGGCGGCGAGGCTCTGGAGCCTCAGCGTCCTGACTGTCAACATCTGGGTTTTCCTGAATTTGGGGCCTTGTTCCAGAGTCCAAGTGGTTTTGGTTACCTCTTTTCCCTCGGTGCAAGTGTCGAAGAGCAGGAGCCGATGCTGCAGTTCAGTAGCAGAGGTTCGAGATGTTGGATGAGACCCTCCTAGGTACGCTCCGCCTTCCCATCATCATCACCATCACCAACACCATCATCATCATCATCATCATCATCATCATCATCATCATCATCATCATCATCATCATCATCATCATCATCATCGTCATCATCATCATCATCATCATCATCATCATCACCATCACCATCATCATCAGCATCATCGGCATCATCGGCATCATCATCAGTATCAACATCAGAACCATCATCGCCATCATGATCATCATCCTTTTTCTCCTGATTCCATGACGGCGGCGCCGCCGACGGCGCTGGCCGCAGCCCCCTTTTCGCGCCTGGGCCCTTGATGCCCCTACGGGGCGGCGCGACCTCCCCCCTTCGGCCCGCGGCCTATGGCGCAGGCCGCTGCGCCCGCGCAGACAGGCCCCGCCGCCCCGCCGCCGCCTCATCTGTCGCCGCCGTCGCTGTTGTCGTCGCCTCTGCCGCCGCTGTTGTCGGCTGCCGCCGCCGATGTCGTCGTCGTCGTCGTCGTCGTCGTCGTCGTCGGCTTCGCTGCCGTTGTCGTCGGGTCCGTCGTCGGTCGTCGCCGTCTGCGCCGTCGTCGCGTTCGTCGCCATCGTCTGTTGTTTTTGTCGGCGTCCGTCGTCGCCGCCACACACGTCACCGTCGTCGTCGCACTTTTCCCTGTCGTCGGTGGTCGTTGTCGTAGCCATCCCTCGTAGTTGTGGTATTCCTTTGCCGTCGCCGTCAGAGGATGATGATGAAGAGGTGGAGGTAGAGGAGGAGGAGGAGGGAAAGGTGATTGGGAGGAGGAGGAGGAGGAGGAGGAGGAGGAGAAGGAGGAAGGGGAGAAGAACGAGAAGGAAAAGGAGGGGAAACGGAGGAGTAGGAGGACGTTCTTCTCCTCGCCACCCTCATCCCCCAAGCAATCGGCGTGCACTCTGGGCCTTCTGCTTGCCTTCCGAGGAGCCTGTCCGGCCTGCAGCCAGCCTCTCCTGGACGGTGCTCTGTGGAAGGCCACGCTCGGCGCTCGGCGGCTTTGCCTGGTGCCCAGTGCTTCTGATGTTTGTGGCAGTCGCAGTCGGCCGTTCCTGGTCGGCGCTGCGTGGCCCCGGTCGCGGACTGTGGTCTACGGTGGGGGTGCTCGTTATACCATCGAGAGCACTCATCGAACCCGAGTAGTACGGGCCCCCCATGGACAGGGCACGTGCGGGGGCACCCACTGCCGGACACCCCTACTTGGGGCCTCCACTTGGGCTGAGTTCTTCCACCCGCCTCTGCCCGAGGCGCTGGGTCCAGCGTCCTACTTAGGGCGAGGACAAGAAGAATTAGTACGATGAGCTGAAGACGTTGCCTCATTTCAGTTCCTGTCTTCACATCAGAGATCATACATCTGGGCGGTTTGGCCTGATACATCTGCAGCAACAGACCCTCCATCCCTAAGTTGTCTGTCCTTCTAGCTTAGGTCCCTTCCCATGCTTATCATGATAATGAATGTGCCCAGAAGGCTTCAGACCCTGGAGGATGTCTTACCTGATGAGGGTGGCGGTGATGTCCACGGCCAAGCCTCAATGGGCGTTCCACCGGCCTTCAGGCCCTGGATTCCTGGTCCAAGGGGTCCTTATCCCATGCCCCCGCCGTAGTGATGGCTGACGCCCCATGTCGGGCTGGGCTTGGACTGGGATGCAAATCGCTCCAGAGCGTGCCGGAACGTTGCCAGAGCGTTCCAGGGCGCTCTGAAACGCCAGCAGCGCGCGACGTTTTTTTCCAGAACTGGTCTGATTTTGTTCCCGTCCTTGCTTTCAGGAGAACATTCAAAAAGAGTCTTAAAACATAGTCTGGGGACGATTGATGTTAGTATTTTTTTGGACTACCGTTGAATATTGTTTGACTATGTTTGTATGTTGCGTCCAAAATCCGCCTGTGGGGGGACACGCCCGACCGAAGCTTGGCTTCGTCTTGCCGCAGCTGTTGCGGCTCCCCATGGCTGTCGGCCCACGGTGGGTGCCCTGCGGTCAGTGCCCTTATGGTGGGTCGCTGTGGCTCGCCCCACGGCCTGCCCTTCGCAGATGGCACCCCGCAGACTGCACCCCGCAAACTGCTCGGCGGCCGGCATCATTACGATATTCCTGCGCGCCATGATGCTGATCATTGTCCGTCTCTCTCTCGCTCCCTCTTTCTCTCTCCCTCTCCCTCCCTCCCTCCCTCCCTTTTTTTTTTCTCTCTCTCTCTCTCCCTCTGTGGCTGTAGCTCTCTCTCTCTCTCTGTTTCTCTTTGGCTTTACCTCTTAACCCCCCTTCTTTTTTAATATCTCCCTCCTCCCTACGCGCGGCAGCGCGCGCTCAGGCTGGTGGCAGGAGGAATTGGAGGGAGGGGGAGTTACCACTGGATTGGCCTGGCAGCCACGGCATGGTGGGAGGAGAAGGAGGGCGATGACGACGACGACGACGACGAGGATTCCCCCTCTTACATCCTTCTGTCCTCCCCTCTCCTCCCCTCCCTTCTTTCCTCCCCTCTCCCTCCTGAGCCGATGCCGTCGATCACACCGCCGCCGGCGGCGACGCCGTCGCCGCGCGCCGCTGCCGCCGCCGACGCCACTGTGGGCCCCCGAGGAGGAGGATGAGGAGGAGGAGGAGGAGGAGGAGGAGGAAGAGGAGGAAGAGGAGGGGGAGGGGGAGGAGGAGGAGGAGGGGGAGGAGGGGGAGGAGGGGGAGGAGGGGGAGGAGGAGGAGGGGGAGGAGGAGGAGGAGGAGGACGAGGACCTCCCGCCGCGGGCAGGCGGCGCCCAGGGGCCCGAGCAGGGCACCACCAGGATGCCGTCCGCGCTCCTCCGGCCGGGCGCCGAGCCATGCGCCGCCTCCGCTCCCGCCGGCGGGCCCCGATCGTGCTCTGCCTCGTTCTCCTCAGCGCCCCTGCCCCCCTTCGCGCTCGCCCTGCTCTCTCCTCCCCGTCCTCTCCTCGTCCTCGTCTCTCTCCTCGCCTCCTCCCACCCCTCACCCTCTCTCATCCTGCCCCTCTCCCGCTCCCCCTCGGCCTCCCTCTCCTCCTCCTCCTCCTCCCCCTCCTCCTCCTGCTTCTCCTCATGCTTCTCCTCTTCTTTCTCCGCTCTCCTCTTCTTCCTCCTCCTCCTCCTCTCTCCTACTCTCTCATCCGCCTCCTCCACACATAAACAATATGAATACGTGTCCACCTTATCCTCCGTAGTTGTCTGGAAGATATCCCGCCTCCTCCGCGTGTTTTTTTACACTGGATGTCACAACTTGCTTTTTCTTATGGCTTGTTACTTTCTGATTGTTTGTTGTGCTCCCGCTGCAGCGTTTCGGATAGGCGCTTAGCTCCCGTCAGTGTGGCGCTCTCGCCCTAGCGCCGGCCATGTTGCTGGACACGAGTCTTGCTTCATTGTGGTCCCCCCGCTCATTTCCCCTCCTCCGCCTTCCCCTGGTCCTCCTGTTCATCCCGCTCCTTCTACTCCAGTTCCTGCTGCTGCTGCTGCTGCTGCTGTTCGCCTCGCCCCAGCGCGGGCCATTATTCTGAATCCGAGTCTTTCTTCATCGTTGTCGCCCCCCTCGTTTCCCCTCCGCCTTCCCTGGTCCTCCTTTTCCTCTCGATACTTCCGCTTTAGTCTCTGCTGCTGCCTTTCGATCTCATCCTTCTCCCCCTTGTCCTCCTGCTCATCCGCCACCTCCTCCTGTGCACGCAGCTCCCCTTTGTCCGATTGCGCATAACACGAAGTGGTCTTTCTGTGAGAGTTGCAGGTGGACTATGAGAGTCTACGACACGCGTCCGCAGATAGGGACAAATCAGCTCCATTGGAAGAGATGAGACGGAGGGATAGGATGTCAGATGAGGCGCCAGCGCACCTAGCTTGTCCTTCTTCCGCTCCTCCTCCTTCCCATTTCCTTATAGATGACTCCTCCCTGTCGCGCCCCGAGGCCCGTCGAAAGGGCGGGCCAGGCGTTTCGCTTGATATCTTCTTACCACTTGTGGCCCTGGAGCCTCAGAATTGGTATCAGTTTGGCGGATGGAGGGCGGGTGGTTTTCAAAATGCGGTTCTGGCCTCAGCGCCGCGCGCAATCGTTTTAAATTCTTGCAAGGGCTTCACGGTTTGAGGGCGGGCCGTTTTCAAAATGTTGTTCTCGCCTTAGCGCCGCGCACAGTCGTTTTAACAATTTGCACGGACTTTACGGATTGAGAGCGGGTCGTTGTTTCAAAGTGTGGTTCTCGCCTTAGCTCCGCGCCCATTCGTTTAACAGACATTGCAAGCGTTTCACCGATTCTCATGGTTAACGTACCAGATATGTTTTTTGTTTTTATTTTAAAAAAGCGATTCAGGATTGTCATGGCACAACAGTTAGGTTGATCTGCGGTGTTGAAATCCCAGGACTGGTGTTTTGGTGAGATTCAGGATCGCCAAGACGGAACAATCAAGTTAACCCGTGGCGTTGAAATCCTGAGAATGGTGTTTTAGCGCGCTTCAGGATTGTCACACAGTCATGCCCCAACGGGGCAATTCCCTCAGTGGAGATGAACCCTTGTAGGGGCCTGTGAAGAGGAAGCTTGGAGGGAGGGTGTATTCCAACATCGTTGATGAGTCTTGAGTTGGCACTGGTCCTCGTTCTCATCCTCCTCCCCTCCTGTTCCACCTCTCCTCGATCTTCTGGGGTCGGAAATCGAGACTTCGTGGCGTTCTGGGCCCATTTTGGGCCCTCGGGCGCCACTCTGCGAGGGCGACGGGGGACGCCTGCGAAGAATGTCAGCAGACATCCATCTTCCTCATCCTCCTTCCCAGACCTCCGACATAGTTTTTTGCCCTCCCCGCCCCCCCCGGGCCCCATCCCCCCCACTCACCCATAGATGGCCTTTTCCCAGGGACCCGCCTCTAGTTGAAATCCTCGATCCTGCATCTCGTCAAAATCGATTCCGGGCCTTCTTATCCTGGGGTGCGCTTCGACCAGGATCTCGATGGGAACCCAGTGCGCCCCCCTGAGGCCCATACGCACGAGCCTCAGTTCTCGAAGGAGGAGGAGGAGGAGGGGGAGGAAGAGGGGGAGGAGGAGGGGGAGGAGGAGGAGGAGGAGGAGGAGAGGAGGAGGAGGAGAGGAGGAGGGGGAGGAGGGGGAGGAGGAGGAGGGGGAGGAGGAGGATGAAGAGGAGGAGAGGCGGAGGGGAGGAGGAGGATGAGGAGGAGAGGAGAGGAGGAGGAGAGGGAGGAGGAGGAGGGAGGAGGAGAAGGACGAGGAGGAGGAGGAGGAGGAGAAGGCGGAGGCGGAGGAGGAGGAGGAGGATGAGGAGGAGGAGGAGGAGGAGGAGGAGAAGGAGGAGGAGGATGAGGAGGAGGAGGGGGGGAGGAGGAGGAGAGGGGAAGGGCTAGGGCTGTGTGCCCAGAGATGCGAAGATCTACAACAAAAATTGGAGCTGGCAGTTTTTGGTCTTTTTGGGCCTCTGGGGGCCCTCGCTGGGCCTCGGGATCGTTAAACAACGACTCACGGAGAAAAATGTGCCCTGGGAAAGTGGTCTGGACCTCCGGGCCTCACGCATCAAAATGATTGGAGCAGCCGGATGTCTGTGTGTGATGTGGGCGGCAGTCTGTGCGTTTTGTATGTAGGGATGTCATCCCAGGGGCCATTTCATCTCCCAGATTTCGTGGCCTTGTCTTCTCTAGGCCTCCCAGATATGGTCCGAGTGGATGGGGTCAGAGGATGGCGCCGCATCGCTGATGCATCGCCGATGTACTGTCGATGGGTTGGCGATGTTTGCGATGTGTCGGCGACGTCGGTGCGGGGAAAGTCGAGGTCCGCATCGAGCCGCATCGCCGATTCATCGGCGATGCGGTGCGATCCTCCGACCCCATCTACTCGGAACCCATCTGGGAGGCCTCCTGTCTTCTTCGATGCGTAAACGGTGAGGCCACCTATCTGGGAGGCCTCCTATCTGGGAGGACTCCTTCTTCCCCGACCCGCAAACGTCTGGAAAACACATGTCTGCTTCGATGTCATTTATCGTAGATCCCCCTCGGCGGATCCAGGCCATTTGCGAGTAGTTAGTTACTTTGCGAGTAGTGGAGCGCGCTCGTCTACCCTTCTTCGTGCCCCCCCCCTCGTGAGAGCGCACCTGGGACGCCTGGGGGCCCTGACGCTGGAGGCGACGCTGGAGGCGCCCAGAAGCCTCGATCTTCGGATCTCACCCCTGGGATCCTGGCGGCTCCTGTTCTTTTCAAGCCAGGCGCTTTCGCCTGGCTTCGGGCCACGGGGCCCTCACAGATCAGCCCAGCTCGCAAGACGGCGCAGAAAGCCGGTGCAAGGGGCTGTGGTCGCGATGTCTCGCGGTGTCCCAGTTTTGCTCGAGTCGTCGGATCTGGGGTTCCGACCCTCAGATTTTTTCGATCTTCGAGCCTCGCACCTGGGCTCTGGAGGATCGGAGTGTGTACGGGAAGAATGGGGACGGAGACGGACAGCAAGTCCAGTTTGTTCTTAAAGGGGAATCGCTGTCGGTGTCGACGCGGCCGGTGCCCATTCGAGACAAAAGGCCGCCTGCCCAACAGCGGCTGCTATCGGATTCCGACAACATTGTCGCCGCGCCATTTGTTTCGACGCGCGGCCTTGCGTCTTGGGGAGGGCGCCGCGGCCACAAGGGCAAACACCGCCTCGGCTGCGGCGGGTTTGCCGTAGGCTTGCCGCGGTGCCAGCTTAGTCTCCCCGGGCGCGGGGCGCAGCGCTTGCCGTGGGTCTGCCGTCGTGCCGGTGTCGTCCACGTGGCCGCGTCGAGTACAAACTGCGCGGCGTGTCCCATGGGCGTGCCCGTTTCGGGCCTGTCCCATGGGCGTGCCCGTTTCGGAGGGGGAGGAGGAGGAGGAGGAGGAGGAGGAGGAGGAGGAGGAGGAGGAGGAGG